CTTTAAAGCTATCCTCTTTGCTGTTTGCTTTTTTTATTTGACCGTGAGCTATAAAATGCAGTTTCCACCCTCCCAACTTCCTTAAAAAAAACCCCAAAAACCAAACTTGAATTGAGGATCTTTTTGTGTTGATACTTCCTCCAAGGGGGAAAAATGTTTTAAGTGGAAGTTGCCTTTATCCTGCACCTAATGTCTGCCAATGTGAGCCTTGTTACCGTAGTAAGGAACATTTTCCTTCTGTCCTCAAGCTGTTTTGCTGCTTATTATCATGTTTTAACATCCCTGCTGCCTGGCAGGATGGAGATTAGAAGCTCTTAATATTCGTTTTATAGTGAGGAGTATTGCCAGATTTTTTTTTCCTAGAGCAAAGGCTACAGTACAGGGATATAATGCATTAGCACAAAACTTCGGTGCGATCTACTGAGTCACCTTAATCTCCCCTCTTCATCCTTTTATGATTTGTTTTAAAGTAATCTGCTGCACTCAGCAGTTATCCCCTTAATATTGGAGTTGAAAAACTTAATATAGGAAATAACTCCCGATTGGCGATGAGACAGAAGCAAGCAGTATAAAGAGGGAGGGCACAATCCTACAGGCCAGGATGTTTTCCCGGGAAGCAAAATGGGGGCTATGCAAGGCACAGCAAGAAGACATCCAAGCAGACTTATCAGCCAGGTAGCTGGTGGTTGGATGGAAAGTGGGAAGGTCTGAGATTGGGTGAAGTGCTATCTGCTGTAGGTGATATCAGAAAAATGGGGGATTTGATTAGGTCACCCATGTAGAGTGCAAGAGAGAAAGAGAGAGAGAGAGAGAGAGAGAGAGAGAGAGAGAGAGAGAGAGAGAAGAATAGAGGTGAAATGAAGGAGCTGAAAAGTAAAAGGGTTATATGTGTACAAATGATCTGATGTGTAGAAGAACCAGCTGACAGTGGAGTCACGTGCATCTACAGAATGAAGGATCTGGCAAGAAAGTATGGCCAGAGTTTGATCAAATGCTGGTGAGGATGCATTGGAGACCTTCAGGTTTTGCAGTTGGAAGGTCACTCTTGATTTTATCAAGGGCTGTCCCAAAGGAGTGCAGGCAGCTAAGATAGGTGTTGGAATAAAGTGCCCCAACAGATCACACCTCTATAGTCCCAAATTTTTTTTGCTGCTAAATACATGGCATTTGTTCATATATCTGATACTAATGAGAACCACTCAAAAAGCTCCCATTCCTGGACTGTGTTTCCTACAATCTAGGACACCACATTCATTCTGATGCATTTGTGTGCTCCTGGGTAGACAGATTTCCACTTCGGTGGAGGGCAGAGATGGCTCCTAGCTGTGATGGCTATGTTCTTCCTCGACCATCAAACTAGTCTGAATACGTGTAGCTGGGAAATGCAGTTGGGGAGAGTGCTGGTTCACTTGAATGCTGCCTGCAGACTTCCAATGGGCATCTTGTTGACCACTGTGGGAGCAGGAGGCTAGGCTAGATGGATCTTTAGCCTGATCCAGGTGGGCTCCCACATGTGATCAAATATTTTTGTGTATACTGGAGTGGCTGCAGCTGGAAGGGAGTGATGTTGTACATATTTTATGCAAGCTGAAGTTCCTAATGTGTTTTTTTTTCATTGTGTTTTACCTAATTAATTTTTTAATTGTACTTTATCTTTTGAACAGACTGGAAGGAAGGAGAAAGGAGACCCACTTAACACAGCAATTGACAAGATGACCAAGAAAACAAGAGATCTACGAAGACAGGTACTTCTTGTTCACTGCGCTTTTTTATTATTTAATTTAAAGAAAGCTTCATGCTGGATAGCCAGCTGCTGAGCCAATAATAGACCTAGAGAGATGTGTCCTATTTTGGCAAGCAACTTCTCGCACGTCTCAGTGTGGACTCTTTGCTTCTGAAACTGCAGGCTTCCAAAGTAGGCGCTAAGGAGTCTGGCAGAAGCATGGATTTGCAAAGGTCTCTTGCCTATTATCTGATTCCCGTCCCCCATTTATTTTTATTTTTAAAATATTACTATTGTCCCCTTCGGCTTATCAATTTTTGATGCGGATCACAAAGCCATGCAAGCAGCCAACAACAATAAAATAAAATTAGCAATGGTGATATGAACCTGAAAAAGTAAAAATGCTGTTTAGAGCAGAGACATTGCGGTCATCCTTGGGTGAAATTACATTTCTCAGGGGCTAGCAGAGTCTTTTGCCTGGGTGCCAGAGAGGGAAAGAAGAGACCTCATTCCCTTCCTTATGGTGGCTTAGCTCTGCCAGCCAGGTAAGCAAAGATTAAGGAAAGTAGGTTTGTTTGTTTTTAGAATGGAAAGGTTTGGGTAGCCCCATTGAGAGGGGCAGGGCCTTGGGCTCAGAGAGGTAAAGTTAGCTCAAATTTGCATTGATCCAAATTTCATTCTTTCTTTCCTTTTTTAGAAAAATAAACATCTCTGTTCCAAAGCAGTCTGATGTGAACTAGAGAAGGGAGGATCACCCTTTTAACAGAGTAACAGCATCAGATTAGCTGTAATGTTAACAGATCTAAACTTTAGGGAACCTAGAGCTAGGCTGGATATATTCTGGGCCATCCTCCCCTTCCCCCATTAATTTTATTTTTAAAATGTATATCCTGTAACATTGCCATTTCAAAAGACCGGGGGTAGCAGCTGAAGTTGAACACAACTGATAGGAACCAGCAGATCAGCCCATTGCTTGAAAAACCCTCATGCACCATGGCCTCTTGCCTGCTCCTTTTAGTTCAGGAGGGAGAACCCTCAGGTCTAGGGGCCAAATACTGCCCCCAAGACTTTCTATTGGACCCTCAAGACTTTTCCCACAACATATTCTATCCCCAGATACCCCCCCTGCTTCTCAGGCCATATCCATCATTGGCCCTGGTTCAAACCCTCCTTGAGTGGTTTTGCCTGGCTAGAATGTGGCCTCAAATTCTAATAATGCCCTTTGCCTGCCCGGATAAAGGATAAAAAGGTGTGTGTCAATTTGTGTAGAAACTAGTTTACTATACAAAGGCCAAATTTGCATTTGTTGCTCTGACCCCTTTTCCCTCTGACCCCACCCATCACTGTCATGTGGCCCTTGGAAGATTTCCCAGAATGGAATGTGGCCCTCGTGGTGAAAAGGGGACTCATCTCTGCTTTAGCTAATGCTACCCATTTTGCTCTTGTAGAGAGTTTCATAGCTGAGCCAACAGCAGGTATTAAATTATATTCCAATGACATAAATGCAGGGGAGCTAGTAGCAGTGTTGCTGCTAGGTGCTGTTTTTCAGTATTAAGGCACCTGGCTTGATTTGGCGGAGCTGTTTGCAGCCCAAATGTGTGATCTTGCTAGGAGATGTGATGGTGATTGGTTCAAGGTGCCGGATTAGCTCAAAAAGCTTCTGCATTCAAGATCCCTGGCAAAGTTTATCTGCAATTTGTCATGCAGCTATCTAATACTCTTTCCAGTTTGAGAGGAGTAAGCACTGGGCTGTTCTCACTTAACATTCTTCCTTGGTTATGCTAAACATATACACCTCCATGCATCCCTTTCAAACATCACTCAACCAGAAAAGCAAGGAACAAAACCCGGCTGCGAACAAAGTGCTTAGGAGCGAGCAGTCATGTCAGAGGCAGCAGCACACAGCTCTGGCTGCCTCTCCTTCTGCTGCATGGAAAAGATGGGGAGTTTGAAGTCTGAACGGAAGTTGTGCCAACTGGCAGGACTCTTTGCTCTTCTCCTGCAGAGAAGCTTGTCAGACAGAACAAAACAAGCCTCTTTCATTGCAGGCTAGGGCAGACAGACACATTCACAGCAGCAGGGTGATTCCCTCCTGCCGGTTATTTTGGGTTCTTTAATGTTTTATATCTTCTGGGGGAGAGGGGGAGTAGAAACAAAAGGAAATCACTAAGTTGATAATTTCTTAATGCTACAAGTTGTCCTACAACAGCAGAGAGCACATGGTTCCTCAGAGACTCTACTTCTGCAGTGGCATTGCATTGAGTGAGGAGGGCAGACTGAGGGAGACTGCAAGCCTGCCAAGGCCCAGCATCGTTTCGTATACATCTCACTGCCTGCTGGTTGCCTGACTGTCACTACCCCAGCATCCCACGTGTTCCAACTTTTGCCTCCAGCCATTGCAACCTCACCCCATTTTGGATGATTTCTGAGCTGACTGGGCAACTGGTCCTCTTCTTCTCTAGCTTTTTAGGCTTTATTCCCATTCGTTGTCTTAGCTGGGCAAAGTACCTTCAGAAAGCCAGATCTGCAGCGCCAGAAAGGACAATGAGGTCAGCTGCCCTTCATCCTGAGAAGACACTGCTACCATCCTTGTGTTCCATCTCCGCTTCTGCCACATTGCAGCAGCCACAAGTTGCTACAGTCAAAGGCTGCTTAAGTAAGGGTGGATATGTTGTTTTCAGCCTGGGGGCCACGTTCCTTTCTAAGCAACCTTCCAGGGGCCACATGCTGGTGGTGGGTTGGGCCAGAGGGGAAAGGAAGCAAAGCAATAAATATGAATTTTGCTTTTGTACAGTAGACTAGCTTCTACTCACATATTCCATCCAGGCTAGCAAGAGTCATTATAAGAATCCAAGGGAATAAAATGTACTCAGTGAAGGGTCTGGCCTCAGGATAGGGGGTCTGGGGGTCCCAAAGGCCATATAGAGAGGCCTGGGGCCCACATACTGACACCCCTGTATTGAAGCAAGCAGGGTCTCCTTTAAGGGTTACCTGAAGGAAGTCAAACCCCCATTTTAGGCTGGCTGTTGAAGGAACATTCAAGTACCATTAGGAGCTCTCCATGATACTAATTTCCCACTCTGTTTATTGGAGATCTGACCCTGCTTTTTTAAAAAACATACATAGGAATAAGGGGGGATAACGGGTAGTGGAGCTCACATATCTATTAAGCACAGTTTGCTGTGACGTTCCTATCATTGTCAATAAACAGTGGTTGGATTTCCCAACTAACAGTAATTCACATTCTTTCCAGTGAGTGCTGCCTCTGTGCTCAGTCCCTGGAGTTAGCTCAGTTGGTTAGAGCGTGGTGCTGATAATGCCAAGGTTGCGGGTTCAGTCCCCATACAGGCTACCTGCATAGTCCTGCATTGTAGGGGGTTAGATGACCATCAGGGTCTCTTCCAACTCTACAATTCTATGTTGCTGAGCTTTGGGGGGGAGCAGGATCATGCAATCAACCAAGATTGACTAAGAACGCCCAGCAATCAATCAGTAGTTCGTGATAGACCTGTTGGACGTCCCTGGTTTAGGAAAGAGAAAAGGACTCATTCACAGCATTAAATTCAGTGTATGTTGTACTATAGAATTCACCATCCCATTTCTTTGGGAATTTAGCTATATAAGGACCACAAATTCATTATGCTGTATGCTAGCAGTGGGGAACCTCTGGACCATGTGCCCAGGGAGAGTCCAGGTTAGGGAGAGTCCAAACTGCACCCACCTGCCCACCCGTAACTTCAGGTGCAGGGCACATAAATATGTGTCTGGGATCAGCTGCAAGCAGACTCCAAAGAGTCCATCAGCTGAGCGGCATCGAAAGTGAACTCATTGGAAGAACCACTGTCAGTGCCAGTCACCTGAGTGGGGACCCCCTTTGAAGTTAAACAGGTGATTGGCACTGACAGTGGACTTTCTTCTCAGTGGCGATGAACTGAAGAGTGCTGAGATAAGTTCCCCTGATGATGATGATGCAACACCTGATTTGCGCTGATGGCACAGGAGCACAGTGCAGGACAACTTGCACTGAGAGGAAGCCCCCTGTGGTTGACAGATGGAGGGCCCAATCCACTTGCCTGTGGGGTTGGGGGATGTAAGGTTCCAGCCAGATCCAGTTCCCTACCCCCTTCTACAAGCAAATGATCATCTGAGACTCTACCTACATCAAGCATTTAGAGCTAACATTTTGATACAATGGGAGGCATTGGGTGGCACCCCAGTCATTGTGCAGCTGCAGAATCATGCTTATTGGATTTATCTCTACATAACAAAGATTTGTTATTGGAGTCAACAAGGTCTCTGTCCTTGAAATCTGGTTTTATGGAAGCAGTAACAGCAAGCTATTTTTCCATCTGCCAATCTCCCCAGTGACCTTTAAGAAATTAATTATTTGTTATCCTGCTCCTCACAAAGAGATATTATTAAACAAGCAGCAAATTGCCATCAGAAAGATGGGATCTCTGTTCTGTTTAGCAGCTTCAGTGCCGAAGTCAAGGATCAGAAACACATACAGTAATGAGGACTTGGGGCTGTATTGTCAATATCTGTTTTTTTCATCTGACAGTGTAAACACATATGGCAGCAAATGCCTCTTCTTCCTGGGTAGCGTTGCCTGAAAAGAATAGGGACATTTGTTCATAATCTTTCAGAAAGTACCCTCTGATAATTCTACCACAAAGTACTGTACCCAAATGTTAACTTTTTCTAGAACCTGAGAGCATGGTGACAAATGCAGCCCTCTAGGCTTCTCTCAGTGGCCCCAGGTACTCTCCCAAGCCATATCCCCTCTCCAGCAATACCTCTTCTCCTCTTATCATCCTTTGTCGAGTGATTTTGCCTGGCAGGAATGTGTCCTTGAGCACTGATACTGCCATTGGCTGGTGTGGGTGGAGGGCATGTGCATGTGTGCAAGCAATAAGTCAAAAGTAGTTTACTGTTCAAAGACAATTATACAATGGTTGCATTTGCTCCTGTCCACACCTGACCTGTGGCCTTCAGAAGGGAATGTGGCCATTGACCTGAACAGGGTTTCCCCTCCCCTGATCTATCGCCTGCTTCAAACATGAGACTTAAAATGCTCTACAGGGTAAGGTTGTAGCAGCTGTTGGTTCTTTCAGGTACTAACTAAAAGACTGCTACTTAGGCTATTTTCTGCACCAATGATGGAGCCGTTACAATGCTAGAAGGGTAGTGTCACGGAACTGCCATCGGAGCTGGAAGCGGAGGGAAGGCTCCAAAGGGATGGCGGAGAGGGTCCCAGTAGGGAGAGAGGGAGCCCGTCTGCTGGGGAAGGAAATCAGCGTAACACCAGTAGAGAAGGGGGGCAGATGGGGGAATCGGAGAGGAGGCTCCAAGACTCCTCGCCGGAGACCAGCGGAGAGAGGACGGGTACTCCACTGCCCACACCCTCCCTGCGCAGAAGACTTCCGCACAGGGAGAGTAGGAGGAGACTTGGCGTCAAGGAACTTTTGTGCTGGAAAAAGTTTAAGAAACGCCCACTGACGGATTCTGCCAGCGACTGAAACAGTCACGATGCTGGAGGCTGTTCAGTCAGAAAGGGTTAACCAGGTAACCTAGCCAGGAGTGGCAGCAACTTACGCACGAGCAACCCCTAAACCCATTACAGGTAGGAAGGACCTGCTACCTTCTTTCTCTCTGATGCTGCATTCATGAAGGATCTGTGTGGTGATGGAGAAGGAGCAGCAGTGTAGAGAGAGGCTCTCCAGCTGACTTTGGTTCCTGCCAGATTCAACAATACTTCCATTCGGAGACACTTGTAGGACACCTATGCAATCTGGGGCCTTTGACGTACATTAATGCAAAACCTGATATCAAAGTATCTAGTGCAAAGGTGGGCTGTCTATTTAATTTTCCCTATTCCCACCTAAAAAATAATTTGAAATTGTAGAGTTGGAAGGGACCCCAAGGGTCATCTAGTCCAATCCCTTGCTCTGCAGGAATGTTTTCACCTGGGATATGCACTGTTCTTCAGATAATGATACAGCTTAATAAGAGAACATTCCACTGGCAGAAACTGCTTTTTGCCATTGCAGAATGTCTCTACTTAAGAGAATACACCTTCCATGGAAAAAGGCAGTAGTGTGACTCTTTCCACATTCTGTGTACAATATGTCTGGCACTGGTGAGACATTGTTGTTATTTTCTCCCCCTTCCCACTGTGCTGGCATCCTGGTTGAGATCATTATTCAGTCTATTTCATTTCCTTGGTGTGTTTTTGTTAAGACCCTGACCCAATTTCAGCCTCATTAGAAGCATGCTTTGGGGTTGTGTACACATACACACACACTAAAAAATATATACAAAACTGAATTTTAAATTTAGATTGTGCTGAGCTTATTCCTAGGGATGATTTGTTTTGTGGATGGGGATGTTGAGTTATTGCGATATTGAGCTGCACTCATCTTGCACATGAACACATTAGCCATTGTGGCCGTCTCTTCCTAAGGCTGCATGGTGTGCCAAGAGATGAGAGATCTGTTGTCCTCCAAGAAAATATGCTGCGTATGATTGGCCATGTAGCTTCATCTCAGTGTTCTGGCACTTTTGAGAGTGAAGCTGCATGGAATCAATATCCAGCACAGCTTTGAGCCCCAAAGCACGGATGGAAATTGTACCAGTCTTTGCTCATCTCTGAAATCCCTCCATGCCAAGTCTTAAAAGTCCAAGAGGTAGGACTTGGTGAACATTTTCATGACTGCAGGAAGGGGCCCCTTTTAAAATACTTTCCCACAGTGTCCTGGAAATGATATTACAATGTTCATGTGAGGCAGAGAATGCGCAGCAAAATATGGAATTAATTTAAAATATTCTAAAAACAAACACATACCCTCTCAGTTAATAGTTGCAAGGTTGCCAGGAGCAGCACCTTCCAGCCATCAAATGTCTGGGAAAGTTTCAAAGCCCTCCTGAATATTTATAATGAGGGAGATGGATGAAATTCACCAGGAAAAGATTTCCACACATGAGGAGCTGCCACCGAGAAGGCCCTGTTGCAGGTCTGTGATTTGGGCAGGGGCAGTTGTTTCAAACATGCCTCTTCCTTCTTTATTGAAGCAGCAGCAATGGGAGGAGCATATTCTACAAATCATTGCATCATAGATGTGTAGGTTAGCAGAGTCCCAATGTCTTCCCCCGAGTTTGTGGAAGTCCCACAGTTTCCCAGCACTGGTTGTGTTATATTTTGTAGCTGGGGAAATGTGACTACCCCTTCCTCTTCAGTTAGCTTATTTTAATGGACAGGCGGAATATAGTTTTGCAGTTGACATTAGTGCTATTTATTGGACATTATCTGTGACATGATGTAATGAGTGGTGATGAATTCATACAACGCTAAGTTTAGGGGCTGTCTATATTTAAGGTTTAAACTTTACCTGGTCATTGCAGGAACTTTGATTTGTATATGTTGCTTTGGGATTGTTGTTGTTTAATTGTTGTTGCCACTGTGCTACCCTCCTGTGCAAAGCCAGCACTAGAGTGGGTGTTCAGCCCCCATTATTTTAAAATTAATATTGCAAACAACCATTTGGTTATTGCTGCACAACAAGTCTGCCTACATAGATTACATTGGGGGGTAGGGGGTAGGGAGGTGGATATTTCACTACCAGATCCAGATGGAGCTTGAGACCATTATGCGCATAAAACAAACTATAAAACATGGCTGATTCTCGCTGTGTGGAGGGGCTCCAGATTTCAGCACCATGGAGAATGGTGGTTTGGTTGGTTCCTTGCTTTCCCTTCAAATTACTCATTCTGCTACCCCCTCGCCCAACCGAATGTCTTTCCTGAGATGTTTATCACTGTGACATGGTGTCTGTGTGTGTGTTTTATGGCACTCTAAATCACTTCAGAGCAAATGGAGAGTGTGTTAATGTTGCTGATTTATTTTGCCAGGTCTGCTGTAATTTCCTTGCTACCTAATTATAGGGTTCAGATTCATTTACTCTACACATAATGTTTACTGAAGCCATATGTTCCCATGTTATGGAAGACTATATGCCACTTCCTTGAGCATTAACCATGGATGGCTTTCACGAAGGGTTGTTAGTTAGTTTGTTTCTCCACCACAGGCCATGTCTCTTGTTCCTATGTACACCTTGAGACAGCACTCTGGGTCTCCCCATCAAAGCAAGCTCGCAAATGCCTCTGCTCACAAGTTCTGCTCATGAGCTCCCAGAGGCTGGAATCAGCTGAATAGAACAGCTGCTGGCTGCTAACTCCTCCTGCAACCCACTTCTTTACTCAGCCATATATTTGTATGGAAGTAGTGCTGCTGTTGTGGCCCACCTTACATCAGGCCATGGCCCAGAAGCAAGTACCAACACACCAGTTGAAG